CGGACATTATAAGGAAACAGCAGGTCGCACAACGCTCAATGGAACGAAATATGCTGGGAATACCCAAAAAAGACCGTAAAAGAGTACAGTGGATACTACTAAAGACCCAGGTAATAGATGTCATCCACAGAATTAAATCCCTCAAGTGGCAATGGGTAGGACACCTGACAAGAAGGACGGACAGCAGATGGACCACAAAGATTACAGCATGGTACCTACGAGGAATCTAGAAACATCATCATAGAGGAAGACCAAACCTGAGATGAAATGAAACCATGATATTAGGAAATTAACAGGGATAAATTCGGCCCGCATAGCCAACAATAGACAACAATGAGCCCAACTACAAAGAGAGTATCTAAATATGTGAGGGAGGCTACACCGTAAGTGGAAATGGTTGAATAAGCTGAAAATGATGATGATGTTGATGATGATTCAAGCTACTTTTTGCAGCTTTTTAACTAAATTGAAATTAATATTAGAATTTAATAACATTAAATAGCACAAAATAAAAAAAATATAATAAATTATGCTTATACTTTTTTCAGTTTCCGCTGTTGTCAAATATAAAAAGAGAATAAAACTCTACTCCTGTCAATTTACATTAATTCGTTTTTTAATAAAGGCAATTGCACTGTCATAAACTGTTTGGGACAAGCGTTGCGAAAAAAATGCGTTGAAAAATTGGGAAAATTTATAGAAATAATGTTTGTGGTGGATAAAAATAGCTGCGCTTGTGTTAATAAAATTATTTTTGGTTTTGATGCATGGGAAAATTAAATTTACAGACATCCGCAACCCTTTTAATTTTTTTTAAATAAACAGTTTGTGTTGTACTATTCAAAACCGCAGTTATTTAATTTTAGTTACGTTTTAGCCAATTATTTTCCAGTAGAGAAAAATGTTTCATATACATACAAATTATGAAACTGAAAATGAGCAATAGTATATTTTTTTTTTGTTATATACCAGTAGTAGGTACTATATAAGATTAAACTAGATGGGATTTGCAAAAATATAAGTTATGATTTTTAAAAATATGTATTATTGCTAGAATATTTAAGTATTGTAAGTAATGTTTATAGTTTTGTTTAAAATGCATTTCTGGAAATCTAGGTCTATCTAAAAAGTAAAAAAATATAGTTTTTAAATGCTACGGTAGCTGGTTTTTATATATAAAAACCAATTGTTATATTTTAACAGAAGGATTACTGGACGTGGTTGCAGCCACACTAAATACCGCAGTGAAATAGGTCATTACCCACCTCAAAAATCTAATCTCTGATATTTAATTATTTTTTAAAACAGTTTAGAAATCACGTACAACGAAATTTCCATCCTTAAATTTGCAGCGGCAATGAAATTTCCCACGTTCGGTAATAACGTTTTAAAATATAGTTAACTCATTAATTAATTCTTGTCGCTTTCCGAAATAATACCAATTTAACGATATAGATATCTTTCGCTTAATATTTCGGGCGCGCTTGCCAGCGAACAATGTCGGCCCTCATTTAAAATTCAAATTGGCCACGGCATATATACATATTTTAATTCTATTTGTCTGTGGAACTGGTCGTGAGGCTTCTGGTCATTTCGTTATAGCCACGGTCAAATATTTGCAGTCGCTTGAAAATTATAAATATTAAATTCGACGATACAAGTTTCGATTGCTCTATAGAATAAAGTAATAAAATGTACATTAAATAGTGTTTGTACCATACTAATTACTGTCATTTTGTAATAGAAGTGTTCTTTTTGATGATATTAAGTATATTATAATATGTTTTAATGATTACGGTGTATACAGAATGCTTCAAAAACATATGACAGGTACCTACCAACACCCTATGTTTTCCTTTATTTTTAGATTCTCTTAACTTTTTTATATATAATGTTGTATACCTAAAATTACTAGTTTTTGTAATATTTGAATTTGTTTAAACAAATGTTAGATTTCACTGTTGTAAAAAATTGTTCGTAATGCCATTGTTTGTGAAGTTAGACTACTAAAATTTGGTAGAAGAGTTTTATAGAGATGAAGAAAAAGATATATGTAAAAACATTTAGTTAGATGCTGCAGGGCGTTCAAAATATATTTATGGATTCCAACTACTTTAAATTAAAACATCTCAAATTTTTCAAAGGGATAACCTAACCTAACCTATATATTTATCATTTTTCCTGGTAGATTTTACAATGTGGATCAGATTATAAGAGAGTGGAATGAAATAGCACAAAGAGGTATCCCAATAGACCGACAATATTTTCTGAATATACTACTGTTTGCAGACGACCAAGTGATCGTCGCACCAGACAAGGATACCTTACAAAGGCAGGTTCATCTCCTAGACAAGATAATAACAAAATATGATGGAAAAATATCTACCAAAAAAACAAAAGTGATGGTACACTGAGGCAAAGACGGAATCCGCAACAAAATAGTTTTAAGAAATAAACCACTACAGCAAATATCGCACTTCAGCTTTTTTGGATACCACATAACCTATGATAAAGATAATGACTACATGAAAAAAGTAAATAAATTCCAGTCAATGTGTCAACTATCGCAAAAACTATTAAAAACAAAGCACGGCTAGAAACGCAAGTAAGACTATTTAATACATTAGCGGTACCGATAGTATTATACGGAAGTGAAGCCTGGATTACCACAAAAGTTAAAGAACAAAGACTCAGAACAACGGAGATGGCGTTCTTACGAAAAATAAAAGGGAATAAGTAGAGAAGATAGAATAAGAAATTGCACAATAAGAAATGAACTAAAAATACAATCATTAGAAGAAAAAGTGAGAGTATATAAAAACAAATGGAGGAGAAGTATTGGACGACCAATACAAAGATGGTGAAGCGGAACAGGTTTTTAAACATAAACCGAAAAAGGATACGACGACGACCATTTTTTTCTATTTTTACCCATATTTTTAATACAGTTACGCTAAGTTAAGAACAAAACTTTTATTTTAGTTTAATTTGTTGCAATAAGTATTGACAGTAAAGGGAGATAATAGTTCCTGAAAATCAATTAGTCGATGTGACAAAATATTTTTTAGTTCAGTCCTATATATTATAAGCACATTGCTAAGTACTATAGGAATAGATGTAGATTATCTAGAAAACATTTTCAGTGTGCAATGGGACGGTTTCTTCGCAGTAGTAATATTGGCTTTACGAAATGAATTATAAACCAGAATTGCTACGAGAAAAAAAAAACTTTATAACCAAGAAAATTCTTATATCAGTGCCATCTTTCATAATATAGAAATACACCAAGAACTTCACATTAAGTTAATTCTTAGTTTATTCTTTGGAACAGTAATATTTTACTTGTGAATTCCAAGCAGAGTACGGCACTCTTTTCATTTTATTTAATAAAATAAGTAGGGATATTTACAAATTTAGAGTTTGATTTACATAACCTGTTTTCCTCAAATTTCCGAAAATATTCCTTCTGTCGGGCGCATTCGAGATAGGTCACAATAAAAATATTTTTAACACAACGTAGGTTCTTTTATTATTTGTTATACAGTTGGCCAACCGATGAAAACCGCATACCAAAATCTCTGCTTTACGGTGAGCTTGTGGACGGTAAGAGGAGGCCGGGTGGACAACTGAAAAGATACAAGGACATTTTCCACGAAAATTTAAAGGGAATTAACATGCAGAATGAGTGGGAAAAAGCAGCTCACAATAGAACTCAATGGAGAAGGGTTGTAAACTCAGTTAACAGCGGCAACCAAAAAGTAGAGAGGCAACAAAGCAATGAGATTTTTGAATGTCCGGAGTGCGGTAGGCAGATAACATCACGTATCGGGCTTTTCAGTCACAGAAAAGCTCATGAAAGAAAACGCCTTGCGTGACCATTTTCTTTATGTGTGTCGAATACTCGTCAGCGAGTAACGGCTGTATGTATATATGTATATGTATACAGTTGGCCAAAAACTTACCTCTTCAACTTTGTTGAACGACCCTGAGTTGTTATACTACAGTTTTTGTTTGTAGTGCGGAAAAGAGTTTCCTCCTCTATTAATCTGGGAATCTATGTATCCGCTGAATTTAGATTTGGCAACGTGGCTTTAAAGGTCACTAACATGTGACTTAACAAATTCGGAGTGTTTTACCAATTTGTTTTCCCAAATTTCCAATTCATGTTTCACGTATAGAATTTGTTAAAAAAGTAACAGAAAATAGCAAGAACCTGAATATTTATTGAATGATTAACAAAAAATGTGCGAGAAAACATTAAAAACGTTAGAAATTTTAAAAAATATAATTAGTCCAGTAGTTAGTAGAGTCTTAAATAAGTACAAACATTTTCGGGGCTGATAGTTTTGCCGTTTCAAATAAGTCCAAAATAACCGGGTTATTTTCCTTTGAATATTTTCAAAAAAAAAAAGTTTTTTGTTTAAATTTTGAGAACCACTGGATCTTTTCTGTTTTTTTTTGTAAATTAAATCTACTACCTATGTTGCCATATTATCAAGAAATTATTTTTTTTAACTAAAAAATCCAATTTTCTTTCAAAAAATTCCAAATTTAAAAAAAAATCACGAAAAAACCTCATAATCGTGTTTCTGGGGTCGAAATATACTACCCCTAACAATATTTACACTTATTTAAGACTCACCCTGTATTTTTGTTTGGCTTTTAAAACGGCGAGACCGCCAAAAAAAGTTCAGATTCTTGATCTACGACATCAAAATAGAGCGTATACCAATTTTTATAAAAAGTTACGATTTCCTGCTTTTTTAATGATTACCAAAAAAATAAATAGGTAGATAATCAAAGAAGCGAAAACTATACATTACTCACCTTTGCAGATGCCCGAGCTATATTAATCTTATATCGAATTAAAAAACTATTTTAACCAGAAATAAAAACTCATAAACTAAGTGTGATACAATAAAATAAACGAGAATCCGATACAAATGAACTGTGCAAAAAACTTTTTCTTACTTTATAAAAGTGTTTTTATTTTATTGCAGTTGTTCCTGAAACTCGTCTAGTGGGCATCCCAACCACCGACATCGAAGATCTGAAGGATTCCATAGCGATCAGATGCGTGGTAACGGCCAATCCCAAAGCTTCGGTCGTTTGGAGACGCGAAGGCCAGAATCAACCTGCTAGCTTGCAGGAATTGCTACAGTTCAGTCCGGCGATCAGGCAGCATTCCGGGCTGTACACTTGCCACGCCAGGAATAAGGCTGGGGATTCTGTACCTATCAGAGTACAAGTAGATGTCAAATGTAAGTAGTATACTAGTTACACATTATGTATTTTTCTAACTTGAGCTTCATAATATAGTATGCATAACGAATATTCGGAAACTGTACAGTAGGGTGAGCCAAAAAACTAACCTATGGAATTTATGAGTTAAAATGAACCTAATAACCGAGAAAAAAATATCTCCGGAAGGCAGGATTTCTAGCTCACTTTTAAAAGGTGTCGGTGAACATACAAAGTTTTCCATTTAATCATTTGTTTGGAGGTTTACAAATAAATGTTAAATACAAAAGTTATAGGGAAGGATAAGATACACATTTTAAAATTATTGTAGAATATACTGTAATGTTCAACAATATATTTTTTTACCTTTTATATTGGTACAAGCTGTAGTAAGTTCCACTTTTTTAACAATTGTGCTAGCTTGACTTCGTATTCCTCTACGTCTGAATTCTCATCATCTAGCGAAATATTACTTTGCCAAAAGAAGTATTTATTGTGCATTTTTTTGTACTTGTGAAACACTGATGACACACATCACAAGTACATGTGAGAGGTAGCCGACGCTCTGTATAGAGTATGGCATTGTAAGAAGAAGATTGTGCATTTTACAATGCATTTTTTTCTGAGTGTAAGATACGTCTTATCATAAGGTATTACGTTACTTCAAGCGATATCGCTGTTTTGGTGTCGATTTGTCATGTCGAGGTCGCGACAGCCAGAGTTAATTTTACATATAATTGATCCCAGTAGTATTTTCAATAGTAAAATAATAACTATTATGTCATTGCCCTTTACTGCCGTCTACAGCAATAATAGTTTCAGCAACGGCTGTTTTGACTGATGAATTAGCCGGATTATCCGAACGTTGAGTCGTAAATTCATTTGATTATCGCGAGCGGATGGTCGTGCCCGATAAATAAGCACTGAACTAAATGGAATGAGCGTAAAGCGATCGGGAAATATTGGGGGTGTCTTTATGGCATCCGATAAACTTTATAGCAACGATTGTAGTAGGGTTTATATCGGTAACGAGGATATTCTCCATTAAATCGTGAATAAATTAATAAAATTTAAAAAGAGTAATTCTTACTAATTTTATTATATCGAAAAGTCGACTTAGACGTAATTAATTTAAAACAGTTCAAGCATGATATTATTTTACGGACAATTTATTTCTATAATTTTCTTGTTAAATTTGGTTATGTTTCCCGTATAAGTGTAGAAAAAGGTGTTATAAAAAGTTTATATGGTAGGGTCAAAATAATATGTTCAGACGACAATAATTCACTAAACAGAGATATAAACCACATAAAAATACATTAATAAAAAACGACAATCTACCATTTTAATAAACGAAATACAAACCCCAAATCATACACAGAATACACACAATGACAACAATACACAATATACAGGGTGTCCCAGAAATAAGTGCTAATATTTTAACTGGTAGTATAGTTCAACCCCAGAAACACGCCTATGAGATTTTTTTTGCGAAAAAAAATGTTGAAAATTTAAAATTTTTCTTGACATTTTCCGGGAAATTTGAAAAAACTTTTTAGTGCCACTTGTTTATTCACCTGAGATTTCCCTACGGTGTATCTAAACCTTGCAGTGTTGCAACCTCCTATGTTATCCACATTCTACATAGTTCGGCGGAACTTAGTTCTACATTTATAAATTCATAGACAAATTTCTACTCAAAAAATTAGGAATGTTAAATTTAATCTTTTATCAGTGCTCATTATTAATAATTATAGAAAAAAAACGCATTAATTATTTTTAGTACTTACCCTTTCAATGAAAACTTAACAAAAACCACCGAAAATTAACTAAAACATTACGTTTATGACGTTTACGAAAATCTTTGTTATGCTGCAAAATAACTTTATTTTGGAATAAATTTAATAAAATTATTCATATTATTCACAATCAGGTCACAAAAAGAAATTCCTAAAATGTTTATCGTAATTTAGAATTCAATTCAAGAAATTTAGAAAACAGCCCAACGAATAATCGGTTCATTTTTGTTTTGTTAGTTTTCTTTCATGTTTCTCTGTTTTATTTGAACCACTGTTTTACAAAACACCTTTTTACCTTTCTGAATGAATAAATGTTGAGAATTATTGTCTCTTATCGCCACTTTACGAACTACTTTCAATCTAAGAAAATACATGTTTCACTCCACAATTATTGACAACGTATTTTGTTTTTTTGGCTATTTTGTTGATGGCGATGTATTTCGGTTTTTGTTTTTGGCGATGTATTTCGACAATTCCATCGACAGCCTAACCGTCAACCAAGAACTGCCGCGTGTGAACCGGTCTTTTGAGTCGCCGGTCGCCGCGCCGTCGTGGCGGGCTTGCGTCAGACGACGATGTTAAGCAACGTTGCCGTAGTTACAACAATTTCAAATCCAAGACATTCGAAGCAATAAAATTCGTATTAAATTTTAAAAATAAAACAGAGAAACATGAAAGGAAATAAATAAAACAAAAATGAATTGATTATTCGTCGGGCTGTTTTCGATGTATTGAATTCTGAATTACGTAAACATTTTAGAAATTTCTTTTTTGTGACCTTATATATAACCAATTCATTTGTGTTTTGTTTATTTTCTTTCATGTTTTTCTGTTTTATTTTTAAAATTTAATAAGAATTTGATTGCTTCGAGTGTCTTGAATTTGAAATTGTTGAAACTACGGCAACCTCGCATGACGCAAGCTCGACACGGCGGCGCGACAAAGGAGCAGTTACCAGTGATGCGCCGCTCTCTTGGCCGACGGCCGACCCGACGGTTGCGCTGTCGATAGAATTGTTGAAATACATAGAAAAAATAGCGAAAAAACAAAATACGTATTTAAAATTGTTGGGTGAAACATGTATTTTCTAAGATTAAAAGTAGTTCGGAAAGTGGCGATAAGAGACATTCACAAAGGTATTCATAGTAATGTGTGCTTTTCAAGGTGTTTTGTAAATCAGTGGTTCAAATTCTGATGAGGCCTATATGAAAATAATGTGTTAAAAATGGGGACTGTTATTTTAGTAGTTATTATAATAGCATGTACAAGTAAAGCAGCACAGTGAAGTGTATTTTAGTTAAGTGTATATCGAAAAAGAGAACTGTTACAGTTACATCGATCTGTCATAAGTATCTTTTTTAATGTTGGGTAAGTTTTTTAATTTAACTTTTTTAACACATTATTAAATATTTAACTTTTAATTTATTTTATGTAATAATATCACAATCTTAAAAATGTAATGCATCTCTGCAAACTCCTCAGGTGTGTTGTGATTTTATGACTTACTTTTAACATATTATACTTTCGTGTCCCTATGGCAACACAGTGCGTCGAATTAACTGAAATCCGGGCTTGATCCGGGTAATTGGATGTAGTTGGCGATATCTGCCGGCGGTTCTCAAAATGTTGCGATTATTTTTTTAAATTTTCAAAGTTAAATAACTCGGTTATTTTCAATTTAATTTAAAAATGGTAAAGAGAAAATTTGTTTATTTTGGCCAGATCTACCACTCCTTAAAATATCTGCACTCATTTCTGGGACACTTTGTATACAACTTACAAACATACGAGGCGTTTCGGGGAAAATAAGAAGGATAGGAAAGCAATATAACATACGAACATCTTTCAAAATACAAAGTACACTTAGATCCATTTTATCACACACTAAACCAATGAACAGTGAACAACAAACAACAAATGTAATATACAAAATACCATGTGAATGTGATAAATTTTATATTGGTGAAATATCTAGACCCTTGAATGTTCGAATTAAAGGACATACAGATTATTTAAGAAAGGTCGACTTTTACTAAAAAATCTAAGATCTGTCAGCATTGGGACAGAGAGGGCACAGAATAGATTTTAACAACGTCAAAATTATAATGAAAGAAGAGATAGCCTCTAAAAGAAAAATAAAAAAGACTTTTTTAATACAATCTAATAAAAATATTTTTTTTCCTCATGCATCTGTAGAAGCTAGTAATGTTTGGCAATCGCTTCTTTGATTTTAAAGAACAAAACATGAATAAGCTTTTTGGTTTTACCTTATTAAGTAAGTGTTAATTTTTAAGTTTAATTTGATATAATGTCATTTTAACAAAACGTCAAGGGTTGTTGTAGACATATCTGTTTTAAATAAACTAAAGTGTTCTCGAATATATGAATTTACATATTTTAAATAGTTTTTTCTTTCTTCTTTGTGTTTTTTTTTTGCTTCTGGCGTCGGAAAGAGATTACTTCCAGAAACGTTAAGCATTTTTTTGTCCATTAGGCAAATTTGTTTATTGGTAGATCATTGCTGACAATTAGTCTCCGTTGGATTAACGCAGCAGTGTTTACAAAAAATGATTATTTTATTTTGTAGATTTTCTTCAGTTTCAGTTGCGAAATACCCGTAGGACTTTTTTGGAGATGTTTTTCCGCTGTTATGTACGTTTGTAGCCAGGAGTGGAACTGTCGCGATTTTTGTAACTTTTTAAGGAATTTGCTTTTAAAAGCCACTATGCGTAACTTGTTGTACATCGTTAGAATGGCAATGAATTTATGTATTTAGGAGTGTAAAAATCTAATATGGCATCTATATAAAAACATAAAGTTGATGATGGTAGTCAAATAGTGAAACGTCCGCTAACTAATGTGAAAACACTGTTGTAAAGCTGGAAAGAAGTGGCAATGAAAATGTGGTTTTAGTTTTAGGAGACTTTGTCAAATAACGCCAGAAAAAAATAATATGGAAATCCTTAATTTTTGTTTTTTCTTCAATATCTTGGTTCTAAACGGCATATTATTATTCTTCTTCTTCATGTGCCTTCTCCTCATCGGAGGTTGGCGACCATCAATTGCTTGTCCGTCGTTTTATTGTAGTCAATAGTTCAAGATTTGTTATTTGTTCGGTCCAGGATATTTTCAACATTCGTCGGTATAACCACATCTCAAATGAATCTAAGCGTGACATGGTCCGTGCCTTCAGCGTCCATCCCTCGACTCCGTATAAC